CAGTCAGTTCCCACTCAAAGTGACTCTGTATCGGGTTTCCGAGAGTAGCTGGTGAGTTTGAACTGCCAACTTTGTTGTTCATGCTTATCCTACAGTACCACACCAGGACTCCTTTAAACCCTAGCCCCTCCATTTTCCATGACCTTAGGGCAAATAACTGCACCTCTCTGACTTTCAGTTTTTTTTATCAGCAAAAGAGAAATAAAAATAGTAATGCTCTCATAGGACTGTTTGAGCATTTAATAAGATAATCTACTCAAATCAGTTAGCATAGCATCCTTTAGTAAACACTCAATAAATGTTACCCAAAAAACAAAACACAACTAAACCAGTCTCTGTGTCAATTCTGACTTATGGTGACTTTTCATCTTATAGAGTAGAATTGCATGCCATGGCGTTTTCAAACACTAGGGCCCTTTGGAAACAGATCACCTTGGGGTGGATTCGAATTACCAACCTATTGGTTAGTAGTAGGATGCTTAACTGTGCCACGCAGGGACTCCTTCAATAAATGTTACCTGGTATGGTGCTGCAGGAGAATGCACTGGACCACAAGGTTGGTTTGAACCACAAGGTCAGTGGTTCAAACTCACCAGCCACTCTTTGGAAACCCTATACAGGATCCCTAAGTCGGAAACCCTATGCAGGGTCGCAATGAGTCAGAACCAACTGGATGGCACTTCAATAACAAAAACAACGCCAGCCATACCTGTCCAAAGCCTGACTTTATTCCTGAATCTCACCTTCTACTCTTCACACTCAATTATATTAAGGACTCCTGGTGTGGCACTACTGTAGGGTCAGCACTGGACTGTGAACTCCTCAGCATTTAACAGGGTAAGTACTCGACCCCAAGATCAGTTTGAACCACAAGGTCAGCTGTTCAAACTTACCAGTCACTCTTTGGAAACCCTATACTCCGTCACTATGAGTTGGAATCAACTTGACGGCACTTAACAACAACAACAACAATTATAATAAGGAGCCCTGGCAGCACCGTGGGTTAAGCATTAGACTGCTAACCACAAAGTTGGAGGATCAAACCCACCAAGTCAGGTGAACAATGGCTACTCCCATAAAAACCTAGTCCCTGAAAGCCTATCTAAAGTCTGTATGAGTTGGAATCAACGATTTATTATTATATTAGGAACTCTGGTGATTCAATGATTAAATGTCTCCCTGCTAACCAAAAGGTTGGCAGTTTGAACCCACCAGCTTGCTCTGTGGGAGAAATATGTGTAAGTGAGCGTTAATGATTACAGTCTAAGAAACCCTATGGGGCAGTTCTACTCTGTCCTATAGGGTCTCTATAAGTCAGAATAGACTTAACAGCAGTGAGTATTATATTATTATGCCCTGCCTCCCTTTCTAGACCATAATGTACATTATCCATCCCAGGAGCATTGGAGACCTCATAGCCCAATGTGCTTTTCATTATGAGTCTACTCCTTAGCGTTGAGTTTAGCAGTCAAAAGACCTCTAGGTCTTCTCCCGGCTCCTCACTTTCTGTGTGGTCTCAGACAAATTATTCAATTCGCCTAACTTCAATTTTCTATAATATGGGAACAATACCCAACACAAAGGGTGAGGACTAGCCTAGTGTGATGTCAGACACACATAGCAGATGGCCCACAAACATTCATTAAATATGACTCTGGGAGCAAATAACAAATCTGTCCCTAGGAAAAGAGAAGGGGGTAAGGAAAGAGTTTCTAGCAGGATAGCCGGCTCTTGTCTCATAAAATAAACTCTTTGGCTCTCCCGTAAGCCCAGAGACATCACATCTCTTCCCACAGACTCCCTGGGAGAAGATTCCATGTCAGCTTGTATGAGACCCTAGGCCAAGGCAGTGCCCTTTGGAAGTTGTACCCACAGGGCCTAGGGCAGTGGCTGGCACATTGTGAAATCTATAGAAAGATTTGTTGAATAAAAAAGAAAACAAATACATTCCTAGCAATGAAACTGAGGAATATGTTCTTAAACGTTCTGCTTCTCTCTCCCCTCCTCTCTGAAGATTTTTTTGGCTACAAAGGAGGCTCTTCTGCCTCCAAAGGATGTGTCACCCAAGCTAGAAAAAGCACTATGACTTATGGAGGAAACTACCGTTGTCGCTCTAAACCTCAAGTAAGACAAGAAGCCTCCTGCAACTCAGACTTTTCAGCAAGCCCAATTTCATTTCCAAATCATGAGGCTCCACCCACTTCTCTCCCGGAGCTCAGGTGCCTCTCGGTGAACCTCCCACGATCGTTACTACCTTGTGTTCTCCCATTTTCATTACTACCTTATATCCTTTCATTTTCATCTCCAGAGTATGTACTAACTTCCCCCCTTCCGTGCAGGACCCATCGTGAAAGCTTGCTCTCTGGCAGAACCAGGTCGCTGAGACATTTCGAGCCCTACTCTCCTTTATTATGAGTCCCCGGCTGCTGGCTGCTAGCGCTCCTGCCCAGCCCCCTCCCCACAGCCAGCAATGTGTACGCAGACGGGCGGGAGTCACTTTCTAGGCTAAGTGATTCCTGCTTGAAGGCTGCATTGGGAAACTGGAGTACAGGCTGTGCCAGCATAGATGGGGAGTGAGTAGCAACGCTCAGCTATAATTAGTCACCCCCACAGCAGAGCCTGCACACCAGGGAGAGGGAGGAGGGGTCTTTGCTGGGAGGAGGGACCTCTGGCTGCTCTGGAGGGGGAGGAAGGGGCAGAGGCAAGGAAACGCAGCTCTATTCAGGGAAAGAGTCTGCAGTACAGCTTTCAATGTGGTCAGGGCTGGAGGAGGCTGGGGATGTACACGCATCTAGTAACGCAGCTCTGATGATGAAGTTTCCTACATTCTGAAGTGGGAAGATTGTGGATCTGATTTGGGGACAAATAGGGGACCTCAGTAAGTGGGAGCACTGAATGGCTAACGAAAACGTGTCAGCTAAGTATTCCAGAGGGATGGGCAGTGATATGTGGTCTCCAGGGAAGGCGGCTTCCTGGGGACCAGAACGTCTAGGTTCGTTGGAGAATGTCATCCCAAATTTACCCCACTGGCAGAGAGGTCCTGAGAGGCTGGGGAGCGAGGAAGACTTACTGTAAAGAGACGAAGGGAACGAAGAGGGGTCTTTGAGGCGAAGGAGCATAGGGATGGGGATGGAGGCGAGCTGGGGCAACCCTTGGGGATGGAGAATCCTCGGAGCTCCCACTAGAGAAAAGCGGCACTGGGTGAGAGTACGGATTTGTGGACTCGAACCCGAGAAGACCCGGGGCGGTCCGCTGCCAAATGCCGGCCTGACGCGCGCACACACGCACTCACCGATCTTAGCCAAGCTGGCCACCAGGATCCACAGGGCCACCAGGTAGGGCGCCTCTACCTCGTGCCACTGCCAGCGGAAGAGCGCCAAGCCTGGAGGAGGCTCGCCCGGCGTCCCCGGCTCCAGGGTGCGTTCTTCGGTTGTCTCGGCCCCTGCCAGGGGCAGCCCGAACAAGGATAGTGCGGCGCGCAGCATCCTACCGCCTGCCCAGCCGTCCTCCCGACACCGCACGGCTGCCGGCCCCGCGTCGCCGCTGTCGCCTACCGGGCGCCCCGGCGTCACAGGCACGTGGGGTTCGCTCCCCCCAATCCCGACTCGAATACCCCCCAGTCAGGTCCGGGATCGAGACTCTGCTCCGGGCGGCTGGAGTCGGGACCCCCTTTCCTCCTCTCCTCTAAACGCTCCTCTGCTCTGGAAATTCCCCAGTGCAGCCCTCTACCTGCTCCGTGAGTCCGCTCCTCCAAGCCTCCCCACACTCGGATTCAGAGAGGTATACTGCCACGGCCCTCCAGGGCACCACGACGTCATGCCCACAGGAGGAGTCAGTCCGTAGCCGGAGAGTCTGGGGTCCACCGGGTGGGAAGACGTGGCGCCTTCACCCGAGTGGCGCCCCTCAGCCAGCTCCAGCTGCCAAGGCCGCGATCTCGTGAGAACAGCAGGGGGCGGTGTGTGGTCATCTTTTGCGCCGCCAGCGCGGGAATGGGACCCCCTTCTGGCTCTGAAACCCACCCAGAGCCGCGCACGCGCACTGGGAGTGCCTAAAAAGCGTGGTGGACTACGCGGTTTCCAGAAACCCCAAGGCTCAAACTGGGCCCAGCTCATTCCAAGCTGAGAACGAGGCTCATTTCTCGAATTGAGTTATCTCATCTCGTGTTTTCCATGAAACCAGGGGGAATTTATCTCACTTTTTTGCCTAAACTATGGAAAACCCAACAGCTCGATTCGCTTCAAACTAAAAGGGATTCAGTCAACTTTCCCCCCAAATCTGAGGGATATCCTCATCTCCCCCAAAACTGAGGAGGGCCATCTCCATTTCTCATACAATCTGAGGGACACGGATCCTACTTCTTCCTCAAAACAGAGGAACGTGTTCTCTTTTTCCTTCAAACTGACAGTCATCCCAACAATTTACCAGAACAGACGCCCTCTTCTTCCCCTAAAGGGAAGAACTTGTGGGAACTGACCCAATCTCTTCCTTCTGAGTGAGATCCCCCTCACTTTTTGCTCCAAAATGAAAGGGATCCATCCCACCACTTTCCCCAAATAAAAAAATCTCATTCACTTCATCCTTCAAACTGAAGGGAGACTTGGCCAGCATCTGAAGAAACGTTCTTCTTCACCTGTCCTAACACCCGTGGAAGAAAGCAGCTTGAGCGTTCCAAAATCCAAAGAAAGACACCGGGTCCGCACCCTAAAGCTCTCGAAGGCGGGACCCAAACGCGGGCTTCCAGCCTTCTCAGCCAGTGAACTAACGGAATCATGACTAGGCCCTCCAATTGGCTGGCTGCAAGCCCCGCCTCCGGCAGTGATTGCCCCCCTACCCCGCACATTTCAGGCCTCCTTCTTGTTTCCGCCCCACTGTTCGGTCCGCCCCCATCTAGCTCCGCCCCTTCTGCTTCGTCTAGCTGAGTCCGACACACAGAACTTGTCCCGTAGCCGCTGCGGCGGGTCGGGACCCAAAGGTGCTAGGTGGAAGCCGGTGGCAGAACCATGGCGGGCGGGGAAGACCGCGGGGACGGGGAGTCGGTATCGGTGGTGACTGTGCGGGTACAGTACCTGGAAGACACCGACCCCTTCGCATGTGCCAACTTCCCAGAGCCGCGCCGGCCTCCTACCTGCAGCCTGGACGGAGCATTGCCCCTGGGCGCACAGATACCGGCGCTTCACCGCCTACTGGGAGCGCCGCTCAAGGTGAAGGGGGCCAGTGAAAGTTTGGGGGCAATCGGGAGTTCAGGGTCGGCGCCATGAAAACCTATGGGAGGTGCCCCTCCGTGAGAGGCCAGAGTGGATGCGCTCCTCAGGGAGTCTTGTGCTGTGGGCCCAGGGTCCTGCTGCCTCGCCTATGGGGGACGCCTCTCAAATTGAAGGGAAACTGAGGACAGAAGATGGGAGTTGGTATTCTGCGCCACCCCGGGTGCCCTTTAGGCCAGGCCCAGCCTGTACAGGTGATCGGGGTCCATTTGCTGCCTGTCTGCCAAGGTAGCTCCTCTAGGAAGGATGACTGTAGCTGTTCGGGCAATAGCGGACCCAGGAGGCGGAGCTGGGGGAGGGACCAGCTTCCACCTGCTTCAGGTAAAGTGAGGCGGGACTACGACAGGGGGTGGAGCCCGGGAGGGCCACTAGAAGCGGCCAACGCTTAGAACAATATTTGGAGGTTGATTGGTTCCTTTCGGGTAGAAACCCTGGTCCTTAGGGACGTGAGTCCGGCATGAGAATCCCGGTGAAGAAACCCCCATCGGGTGAGGGGAATACCCGGGAAGCGACTCGGACGCGGGTAGGCAGAGCGGAGCACAGGAGGTTACCCGGGTGGAAAAGCCCTCTGAGTCACTGCCCCCACCCCACCCAATACACCCACGGCCGCCGGCCCGCAGCTGGAAGGGGGCGGGTCCGTCTAATTTTAAACCGCGGTCTGCCCTCGTTTGCCCAGGCCGCGAAACCGATTGTGCTCAGTGCCGGGCGAGGCCGGTTTTCAGATTGCATGCCTGCCTCTCCTCCTCGCATGCTCTGCCTTTAGCCCCCAGCAGGCAACCCTTTCGGGCGCGCTCAGTTTCCGGTCGAGGATGCAGAGAGGCGCGCTACCACCCACCCACCCCCAAGGTTTTCTGCCCGCCCCGAATGGTGGGAGACAAGAGAAAGGCGGCACGGGTGTCTTCTCAGTTTCAGCTGGGAGCCGAATTGCGCAAACTTGCCCCCTGGGCCCGGGGTCTCCCTTGGAATGTGCCCCGGGCGCCGGGCCCCCAGCCTGCATTCCTTGAGTTGTGGGCCAGCCCCGCCTCCGAGCGCGGGCGGGAGGGCTGGGCCGACTATTGGCCTAGGGAGAGGCACGTGCCCGGGCAGAGCCCCGGCTTCAAGGCCATCCAGCTGCCGCGCACTACCCACCCTCAGAGTGCTAATCTGACCTCCTGTATGGGGAGATGGGTGCAGAACTGAGGTTCCCGCCCCCTCCTTGAATTATTGACGCCGAAATACTGGAGAGAAGCTTGTTTTCCTCCGGGTCTCTCCTTCAGGACAGTACCTGGCTGGCCCTGACATACCTCTTCCCAACTAGAGACAGATGTGAGAGGTCGGCCGGCAGGAAGGGCCCAGCACATCCTACCAGGTGCTCTGCGCTCTGCTCTCCAATTGAGAACAGTTCTGAACTTGGATGGAAAGTGTCTTATGTCCTTTGCCCCATTTTCATGAGCACCTGGACCGGACAGAATCCAATCAATCTCCGCTAGGTACAGGGACAGGTTAGGGGGCAGGTCCACTGCGCTACTACAGTGCCTAGAACCGAAGGTCCCTGGGACTGGCAGCCCTGCCAGGAATGGCCAGATATGCTTCTATGTGCTCTTCCCAAATATAAACTTTGACCACAACCCCGGAATAGAAGGCTGGAGTAAGAGGGGCTGAGAATAGAGTAGGGGCAAGGACATGGGGGGGGGCCTTGCAGGAAATGTCAACAGCTGTTCCTCCCCTAATCCCCTAAGTGGGTGCCCCAAGAGAGCCTTGAGGGCACAGATATGACTCAGGCTGGCATTAATAGCCCTCCAGAGGGGAGAGTAGGCCCCCAAACCCATGCATATCCTTTTGTCCCAGGCTGTGGGACAGAAATAATAGGGAGAGATTCTCTACTTACTGTTTCATGGTTTATACGCTTATCCATCAGGGGACCATGCACAATCAAGTGATGTCTGTCTTCAACTTGGGCACCCATCCCCATTTATCCCTGGGGATGTGCAAAGGCCTGTCCCACTCCCTGGGACTTCACCCCTCATACCCCCTCAGGCTGGGCCTCCTATCTAGGGGCTTCCTTTTCAAAAGATTCAGAACTTTTCAGGTCTGAGAAGGCCTTGCTCATTTCCTCCCTGTCTAGGAGGAAGCTCCTAGCCACAGCCTCTGACTCATCTCCTGGCCCTGGGGGGTGGAGGTGGGAGGGGTCCTGGCAGTGCCTTGGGTCAGGCCTGATGTCCCCAGGGGAACTCAAGAGTGTCTTTCTTCCCTCTTCAGACTTCTCCCAGGACCTTCCTCCTCTGATGCAGTAGGAATCTGACTCTAACTGTATCTCAATTCTCACCCAGCACAGCCCTGTCCTGTTCTCCCTAGAGCTAACCTTTGTCCTTCCTGGAGGTGCTTCAGGAGCCTCTCCCTGTGACCCAAGGGCCCTGCCATATCTGGGATATTGCAGACTTCTCTCTGGGTGCTGCCCTACACACAGAGGCCAGAATAGCCCCCTCCTCCTAGTAGCAGGCATTGTTGTTGTTAAGTGCCTTGCCATAGGGTTTCTGAAGAGTAGCTGTTGAGCTTGAACTGCCGACCTTGCAATCTAGTGCATTAACGCACAGGGCCACACCAGGACGCTAGCAGCAGGGATTTTGTTGTTAAGTGCTGTCGAGTTGGTTCCAACCCATACCAACCCTGTATAGGGTTTCCGAGAAGAAGCTGGTGAGCTTGAACTGCCAACCTTGTGGTTTAAACCGACCTTGCAGTCCAGTGCATTAACCCACAGAACAGCAGGGATGGTCTTAGAAAAAAAAGCCAAACCTATCCCCATTGTGTCAACTCTGACTCATGGCAACCCCATGTGTTACAGACTAGAACTGTGTTCCATGGGGTTTTTTGGGTAGCATGGTGTTTACAAGTCAGGCTGCCAACTGTGAAGTCAGCAGTTCAAAACTACCACCAGTTCCATGGGACAAAGCTGAGGCATTTTGCTCCCATAGATTAACAGCCTCGGAAACTCTGTATAGGGTTGCTATGAGTCAGAACAGACTCCACGGTACTTAACAACAACAACAATCTTTACAGAGGACTCCTGGTGTGGCGCTGTAGGATAAGCACTGGACTTGTAACCACAAGGCTGGCAGTTTAAACCCACCAGCCATTCCTTGGAAACCCTACATAGGGCTGCTATGAGTTGGAACAGACTCTATGGCAATTAACAATAACAGCAATTTTTATAGAAGTAGATTGCTAGCCCTTCCATTCAGAGTGCCACTGTTTGGGTTCTAACTACCTTCCATTCAGTTAGCTGTTGTTGTTAAGTGCCGTCTAGTGGATTCCAACCCATAGTAGCCAACAGCAATCCATTTGCACAACCCAGGGACCAATAACCCTAGAGATCTGGCCATTCCCAGCATCTTTGGCTCCCAGCAGTGGCTACACATCCGCAGGGCAGGGTATCATTGCCCCAGAGTGTTTCCTATCCTTGCCCCTCCCCACACAGCTTCACTTTACCTCTGAGGAACAATCTGGGAACTAACATATGACCCTGACCTTCTAGGTTAGTGGTCTCAGTCAACTGGAGGGATCCCAGAGGGCTCATAAAGGTCAGGTAAGGATGCTCTGGTGATGAATTAGACTCTTTAGGTCCCTGTTCTGAGGATTTGTTGTGAGATCATAGAAGATTGCAGTGTGTATATAAGTCTTGGAGTCCTGGTGTGGTGCGGTGGATTAATGCACCAGACTGCAAAGCCATTTGAATTGCAAAGTCGGCGGTTCAAGCTCACCAGTCACTCTTTGGAAACCCTATACAGGGTCACTATGGGTTGGAACCGACTCAATAGCACTTAGCAACAACATATAAGTCTTGGCCCCTCTCAGCCTCCTCTGGAACCAGTATGTCCAGTATGCTGGTCATTCCAGTATGCTGGTCATTCTGAGGTTGGGTTGCAACTTGGTGAGAGCCCAGTTCCTCAGTCCTGGCATGGGTAGGCATTGTTATCCCAGCACAGCACATATGGTGCCTGTTTATTCATGTGTTCCCCTGCTGGAACCGGGAGGACCAGTTTGGAGTATTTGCAAGGTCCAGAGAGCTTAGGGATGGGCCGTCTCCAGCTCTTGACTCCCCTCCCCTCCAGGATTCCCTGAAGCACTTCCAAGACCCATACACCCAAGATCTGGGTCCTGTGACCCCATTCCATTCCTGGCTGTGTGGCCTAGAGTAAGCTCACTGAACTTTTGGTTTTGTCACCTGAAAAAGGATTGTTGGGAGAACCTAATATAATAGGCAGCCCAAAGCCTGTCAAAGAAGAGACGGAACAAATGCGAGTGTCTGTCCCAAAGGTGCATCCATGTCTTCGTATCCAGGAAGTCACAGTCTAGTTGGAGATCCAAGATAACAAGAAAGGGGTCCTCAGAGCACAAGGCCCTCTGTTTATAGGGGAGAAGAACAAAGAGACAGTTAGCAAATCATTTCATAAGAACAACAGGCCTTCAGTATTTGATTCCATTCTCTTTGTACTCTGCTCTAGAGGGCCTGAGGTGAGACTGTTGTGTCGACCCCTCATTCCCAGCTGTTCCTCACATGTCCGTTCTGACCTGATTGGACTGTTGTAAAAGTGTTGGGGAGTAAGTAACATGGCCCCCTAAACTTGGCCCTGCATATAAAATCATATGCCAGAAAGTCAGCACCCGGAATAGCGAGAAAAAAGTGGGCCAAAGGCCAAAGTGAGGGGCTGAGCCTGGGAAGAATCGGGGAGGGCTCTCCAACCAGAGGAGTGAGGAAGACAAGAGCCAGGAGTGGGTCATGGATGTGGGCTCATGCTATGTACTGACCTTCAGCCTTGTCAGCAGGGACCAGGGTGTGGGTTTGCTCAGGCCTGGCCCAGCCCCAGGGTGTGAGAAACAAGGCCCAGAGTTTTGATTCCCAAAATGATGACCCCAGGAAGGGACCAGGGGTGTTTGGGACAAGCACCATCCTGCTGGCAGGA